TCCTTTTCATTGTAGTTATTATCTCAACCACTGTATACTAAACATAGGCCTATAAAAACAGCATGTGTCTATCCTATTTGAAAAAAAGTCCGTAGGTCTTATCTTTTGAAATTTAAATAACCTAAAGTATACCATAGAATATTAAAGTAATCCTTATCACGTTTAAGTCATAGCTTGTTACGATGCCATTTCTTATTGCACGAGCTTGTTGTTATATACAGTGAAGATCATCTATAGTGAATTGACTACAGAGATGCGACCATCGGCCGCTTTGTGCGAGACTCGACCCAAAGCATATGCATTATACAGACGTGCATATACACATGAATAGATACATATCTATCAGTCTAGCCAAGTATATCTACAGGATAAATCTATGGATAGATTGACTTGTATCAGACAGATGGACAGATGTGCCTTCATTTCTGTGTTTATGCATGTCGTATAATGAATATTCACTGGGCCGGCTCGCACCATTTTAACAAACTGGCCGTAGATTCTGGCACGCCCCTTTGGGACTTTCCCTTCCCTCCACGCCCCCTGCGTCTATGGATAAGGAGTCCCCTCCCAGAGTTGAAAGGAAATTTTAAGTCTGGTCTTAGTCCTATTATTGGGTATGGATTGATCACGTGCTCCCGTTAAGAGAATAACAAATAAATTTGAGAAATTATATACATATATTTTTTGCATTTTAAATGTTTTACTCTTCATCATGTTGGCTTGCATAAAAATAATTATCAATAGAATTATCATCATCATTACGATTATAATCATCATCATTGTTGTTATCATCCTTATCATAATTGTTATCATCCTTATCATAATTGTTATCATTATCATCATTATTATCATTACTATAATTATTACTACTATGATAACTATTATTTTCAACAATGATATTGATATCATTATTGTTACTATTATTATCATTATAATTATCAATGATATTCTGATCATTATTCTTATAATTATCCTCATTACTGTCATATTCTAAATAGTAAAGGATACTACAGCATCTTTAAGAGCGGCTGAAATCAGGAAATATAATGTTAGCATAATGGACACTGTGTGGTAGGTCAGTTTTATCTTTTTCTCAGCATGGTTTTATTCAGCGACAGCATGGTAGTGTATCTTAAGTATGCATGGGTGTTTTCGTTCATTTTTTTGTGCTGTTGTTATTATGGGTATTGGCACTGTTATCATTATTATCGTTGTTATCATTCTTACTGTCATTATCATGATAGTAATAACAATGTTAATGGTAATGATAACAGTGAAAATTAATAAGGATAATAATAATAAGGATAATAATGACAATAATAATGATAATCATTATCATTATTAAGATTACTATCAGCATTGTTGTTGTTATCATCATTATCATCATCATTATTATTATTATTATCATTATTTCATGATTATTATCATTATCATTACAATTATTATCATTATCTATCTATAATTATCATTATCGTGCATTTATCATTATTTCTATTATCATTATAATCATCATCATTATTTATTATAACTGTTATTAGTACTCTCATTATCGCTTATTGTTATTTACTATTATTGTTATTATCATTATTGTTTCTATTCTCATCATTTTCAATCGGACATCATCATTATTATTATTATTGTTATCATAACTATCATTATTATCATCATCCTTGTTATTTATTATTATTATTTTTATTATTATCATCATTATCGTTACTCATATCATCATTATCATTATCATCCTTATTTTTATTATTGTTATTATCATTATTACTACCATTATCATAATCATAATTATTCTTATCATTATTGTTATTATAATTATCTTCGTTATAATTATCATTATCATTCTTATCATCATTATTACGATCATCATTATTACTACTTTTGTTATCATTATCAGTATTATTACCATTATCATTACTACTATCTTTTAATTATGATTATCATTACCATAATCAATATTATCAGCATTATCATTTTCATTATAACTATCGTTATTTGTATTATCAATACCATTATGATAATTTTGTTAACTACGCTGTACACTAAACACGGGGCATTTCACCTGGCTGTCTTATCCCTATTGTAACAAGGCATTTCTAATCTACTTTATCTCTCTCTACCTTTTAAACAGTGGTTTCAAACTTTTTCAACATTTGGCAAAAAGTTAAGAAAAAGGTGTAAAACTAAAAACGTGTTGTAAATTATAAGGTATGTGCTTGCCATATTATGCTTAGCTTAATTGCTCTCGTGTCTTTCTCGTTGCGCGCAGGTGGGCTCTCTTTCTCGAGTTATGTCTGTCTCCCTGTTGTTCACGCCCTCGTCTGCGTCGTATCGCTTTCGTTGTTTCCTCCTTTCTGCTCTAGTTGCGTGGATTGCAAAGTATTGCATAAGATGGCCTTCTCTTATATTGTAAGGATGAGCAAGTTCATTTATTCTGAAGGATATTTGATCTGTAAGACATTTTAGAATGACCGGAGCGTGGCGCTCGGTTGTGGAGTGTTGTGTTCTGTATAGTTAATGTGTTTTTGGTTGTGTATAATACATTTTTTGTTGGTTGTATTTGTGATGTAATTTGTTTACGTTTTTGTTCTTGAGATATAGGATGATGTACTTGATAGCGCTGAGTATGTTGTGTGTTAGTTATGGTGCTGATGGAAAGATATTATGTGGAGAGCCTGCGCTGCGCGTTATGTCTCTAGAATTAGTGTTGTTACGCTGCATCGTGGATAGATATCATTGTCAGCATATATTACTGGCATGTTTATGTTGTATTGTGTTGGTTAGAATGTTTGCGAGGGTTGATGTTCTGGGTTGGGAATGCGCCATCTTGAGTGTGTTATATTATTTAGGTGTTGTTTATGGAGTATTATGTGTTATTTCCAAACATTGCAAAGTACCGAGGATATATTAAGGTATTGGAGGAATTCTAATATGTAGTCTTGTTGTGTCTATGTTGGTGAGAAAATTGTATAGAGTCCAAGTATATAGATGTGATATTTTCGTATGTAGGTTAATAATTGGTTAGGTTCTACCTGTCTAGGTTGTGTAGTGGTGTTTGTTGGAGCGATTGTCGTGGTGCGTCTGTTGAATAGCTGTGAGTTGTGGGTGTGGGTGTGTCTTTGGTTGTTGAACGACGGGCGTGTGTGAGTGCCGTTCTTCGTGGTTTGTTGAAATAATGTTTGTGACTTTTTAACAGCTAATATAGATATTTGATGGGTCTGAGTAGCCACCAGTGTGTTTATGCATTATCCTGTATTCATTGTTATAGTGAGTGGAGACACCATTTCGCTCGCTCTCTACTAAAACGTCCGCTTCAGGTAATCAATACACTTATGTACACTATTCTCCTTGATACAATCGCCTATATCTTACTTACTAACTACTATTTGTCGTCTGTCCTCCTTAGCACTATGTTCCGATATTGCTGAATAATTGGTAGCCTAACTGGAACTAAAAATTTCCCTTCTTAACTAACACTGATATGATTCCTCTCGCTGTATGCACCATTCGATCCTACCTGCAGTATCAACTACCCTCTCCTTTCCCCCGTCCAGCCAGACTTCTGTCCGCTGGACCCTCGTGGAGCCGTCAGCGCCTCCTGGGTGGAGTGTCCTGGCCTGCTCCCAGAACCTCGGTGCGACCTCTCTCAGCTTGTCAGCGTACGTCACCAGCACGCTGCCGAGCTCAAGTCACGTCCTTCGATCTTCAAGCATCAGGGAGAGGGATCGAAGGTCGATCCGGCATGACGGTGTGCGGTCTCTGGAGGTAGGGGCCGCGTCCGGAGAAGCTAAGGGGTATATTGGCCAGAGCGAGAAGGATTGACTTGCTAGGCAATCGAAGGAGGCAGATGCTATTAGCACAAAGGCCTGGCAGATGTCTGCTATGCATTAAGGGAACGAGATATTTACCGGTGGCGTGCTAGGGCTATTTGCAAGAAAGGTGTGCTGGCTGTCGTGGATAATCAGATGTTCTGTGTGTGTGTGTGTGTGGTTGAGGCGGTCGTCGCGGAGCGTCTCTTGGGTGGCGGCGTCTTTGGCTCTGCGGGCTGGCGGATTCGCTTGGGCGAGGCAGTTGTACGGAGATGCTTGTGGCCAGTCCTTGTATTTTCTTGTGTCTGGTATATTGTTACTCTAAGTATTATTATATTTGTCTGGCAGTATAACTTTGAAATGTCATGAAGGGCGACATTGCTATCAATCAGGCTGCAGATGCTTGCTAAGGGCATTAAAGCCTCGGATGCTGCCAGCATTTGCAGCTCTGCAGATGCTGGCCAGGCATTGCAGCTACCTCACGCATGCTTGCAGCATTGCAGCTCAGATGCTGCCAGCATTGCAGCACTCGGCAGATGGCTGGCCAGCATTGCAGGGCTCCAGATGCTGCCAGCATTGGGGCAGCTCGCAGATGCCTGCAGCATTGCAGCTCCAGATGCTGGCCAGCATTGCAGCTGCCAGTATGCTGGCGCAGCCATTGGGCAGGCACACCAGATGGCTGGCCCAAGCATTGGCAGGGCACGCAGATGCTGCCTAGCATTGCAGCAAGACCAGATGCTGGCAGCCATTGGCAGGGCACCAGATGCTGCTCAGCATTGCAGCAGTTTTCAGACTGCTGGCCAGGCAATCTGGAGCTGCCAGATGCTGGCCAGCATTGGCAGCTCCAGATGCGTGCCGTAGCATTGCAGCTCCAGATGCTGCAGCGGATTGCAGGCCCAGATGCTGCGTTAGGCATTGGCAGCAGCCAGATTGCTGCCAGCATTGGGCAGCAGCCGAGATGGGCTGGCGCAGCATTGGCAGCAGCCAAGATGCTGCCAGGCATTGGGCAGCAGCCAGAATGCTGGCCGAGCATTGGGCAGGCACGCAGATGCTGCATCAGAATTGGGCAGCACCAGATTGGCTGCCAGCATTGCAGGCACCGAGAGTGCTGCCGAGCATTGCAGGCACGCAGAATGCTGCGCACATTGTGCACGCAGATGCTCGCGCCAGCATTGCAGCTTGAAGATGCTGCGCAGCATTGCAGCTCCAGATAGCTGCGCAGCATTGGCAGGGCTCCAAGATGCTGGCCAAGCATCTGGCAGCCATCCAGATGCTGCCAGCATTGCAGCTCCAGATTGCTGGCAGCTATTGCAGCTTCCAGATGCTGGCAGCATTGCAGCTCCAGATGCTGCGCAGATTGCAGCTCCAGAATGCTGCCAGCATTGCAGCTCCAGATGCTGCCAGCATTGCAGCTCCAGAATGCTGCCAGCATTTGCAGCTCCAGATGCTGCCAGCATTGCAGCTCCAAGATGCTGCGCAGCATTGCAGCTCCAGATGCTGCCAGCATTGCAGCTCCAGATGCTGCCAGCATTGCAGATGCTGCCAGATGCTGCAAGGGCATTTAAAGCCGCAGATGCTGCCAAGCAGTTGAAGGAAGATGCTGCAAGCATTAAAGACACAGATGCTGCAAGCATTGCAGCTCCAGATGCTGCAAGCATTAAAGCCGCAGATGCTGCAAGCATGAAGGAAGATGCTGCAAGCATTAAAGACACAGATGCTGCAAGCATTTCGCAGATGCTGCCAGATGCTGCAAGCATTGCAGCTCCAGATGCTGCAAGCATTAAAGCCGCAGATGCTGCAAGCATGAAGGAAGATGCTGCAAGCATTAAAGGCGCAGATGCAGTCAGCCTGAAAACTGAGGAAGCTGCCACTGTGCAGGAGACAGGTGTTTCCGGCGAGACAGCAACAGAATTGGCAAGCAGTGAGGGCGCGGAGGCCGCGAGTCTGAAAGAGGTCGCTAATTCATGGGGGCCAGATGCTGCTAGTATTAAGGGAGACAGCGTCAGTGTTAAAGATGGAGATAGTGTCAGTGTAAAGGGAGACAGCGTCAGTGTTAAAGAGGGAGATAGTGTCAGTGTAAAGGGAGACAGCGTCAGTGTTAAAGAGGGAGATAGTGTTAGTGTTAAGGGAGACAGCGTCAGTGTTAAAGATGGAGATAGTGTCAGTGTAAAGGGAGACAGCGTCAGTGTTTAGTGTCAGTGTACAAGTGGGAGACAGCGTCAGTGTTAAAGAGGGAGATAGTGTCAGTGTAAAGGGAGACAGCGTCAGTGTTAAAGTGAGGGAGATAGTGTCAGTGTAAAGGGAGACAGCGTCAGTGTTAAAGAGGGAGATAGTGTCAGTTGTAAGGGAGACAGCGTCAGTGTTAAAGAGGGAGACAGTGTCAGTGTAAAGGAGACAGCGCGTCAGTGTTAAAGAGGGAGATAGCGTCAGCGTCAGTGTTAAAGAGGGAGATAGTGTCAGTGTAAAGGGAGACAGCGTCAGTGTTAAAGAGGGAGACAGCGTCAGTGTTAAGGGAGACAGCGTCAGTGTTAAAGAGGGAGATAGTGTCAGTGTAAAGGGAGACAGCGTCAGTGTTAAAGAGGGAGATAGTGTTAGCGTAAAGGGAGACAGCGTCAGTGTTAAAGAGGGAGACAGCGTCAGTGAGGGAGACAAGTGTTAAGGGAGACAGCGTCAGTGTTAAGGGAGACAGCGTCAGTGTTAAGGGAGACAGCGTCAGTGTTAAAGGGGCAGATAGTACCAGTGTAAAGGGAGATAATGTCAGTATAAAAGGAGCAGACAGTGCTAGTATCAAAGGAGACAGTGCAAGTATTAACGGGGTAGATGGCGTTAGTGTCAAAGGAGTAGATATCATCAGTGTTACAGCTGACAGCTTCAGTGTTAAAGGAGACAGCGTCAGTATCAAAGGCGCGGATGGAGTCAGTGTCAAACTCGGAGACAGCGTCAGCATCAAAGGTCTAGAAAGATACAGCGTCAAGGAAGTGGACATTTCGAGTATCAAAGAGAACGGGGAAGCGGAGGAGGACTGGCATAACTTCAGCTCCACAATGGCAGCGCACTCCATCCTCACGTGAGGGGCTCTGTCTCCTCTGCCCGTCTGTCTCTCTCTCTCTCTATCTGTCCGTCTGTCTGTCTCTCTCTCTCTCTCTCTCTATCTGTCCGTCTGTCTGTCTATCTCTCTCTCCATCTATCCGTGTCTCTCTCTCTCCCCCCTCTCTCTCTCTCTCTATTCTCTTTCTTCTCTCTTCCCCCCTCTCTCTCTCTACCCCCCTTCTCTCTCTCTCCTCTCCCCTTCCCTCCCTCCCTCTCTCCCTCTGCCCCTTTATCCCCATCTCTTCCCTCAACCAACGCGAAAACAAACAAACAAACACACACCATCATGCACGCAATCACTCTAAGGACCTTGTATGACTTCCGGTCGTTTCGCTGACGAGGTGATGATGGCGTAATGACGTGTTGTTGTGACGTCATGAAACACGTTACAGACACGTCTTTCATCTTTTTTTTTCTTTTCTCTCTACTTCTTTTCTCCTTTTCTCTCCTCTTCTCTTTTCTCAATATCTCTGGTTCTTCTGCCTCTGTTTTACGAAGGAAAGAAAGGGGAAGGTATAACGATATGAAAACTTTCCTACAAACATTATTGTACAGTAATATTATTTTGCATGTTGGACTTACTCTTATCAGTCAG